AGCCTTCCATCCTTCCGAGGTGGGTAAAATGAGGACCCGGATTGTTGTTGGGGGCAATATACTGACTCTGTAAACCGCTTAGAGAGGGCTGAAAGAAAGCCCTATGAAGCGGTATATAAGTCTAACTGCTATTGCTATAATATGAGCTGGTTGCTAAGCGCTCGAAATGAGGTCATGTGACCGGGGAATAGCAGTTGGAACTTAAGAACTGAGTACCATATTGGGAGGGGCCGTCGGAACTTTGAGCAGTTGCTAAGCAACCGGTCATAAGTCAAAGACTGCCTGAACAGAAGAAGCTGACTACCATATTAAAAAAAAAAAAAATGCAGTGGCAACTGTTATTACCTTGTCTTTCTGTAGCAGTTCCAGAACCATAAAGCAAAATTCTTCGAGCGCATTGGATGGCTAAAAAAAAGAGAGAGAGAGGGGGGCTAGATTAATGAACTGAAATTATCCTTCTTGGGGTGTGTGTGTGGAGGAAATTAACACATTTGCATGATTTGAAACATTAAATTCAACTGACCTGAGACAGGGGGTCTCTAGCTGGGATAGTAGAACACATAGCATCTATCTATCAAGATTGAGTAGAAGGTAGAGTCAGTAACATTTTCAGCGGAACAAAAAGGAAAGAAATTTAGCTTTTTTCGTTCGGTACTACAAATAAAATATATGTCAGTTCCCTATTAGAAATCTCAATTATTAAATCTGGTTTTTTTAAAAACTTATAGTACAAATGGCACAGGCACCGCTCTGACCCAGGCTTCCTTAGAAAGCAAGAAGCAAAGTCTTGGTCCCTGCAAAACCTCATTTATTCACACGACTGTGAATCCCTGTAAAGTCAACAAGGCTTTAGCAAACTGTCTTTCAGAGGAATGTTTATCCACACGCACCTTATCTCGTTTGAGCGCTGCCAGATAACTAGTTTCCAAAGCAACAGGGCAAAGCAAAACATGGCACAGAGTCTCTTATGGTCATCACACACACAACTTTCCACTTTTGAAACGATTGAATGAACCAATTGTTTCCTGCAAAAGCCCACTCCCCGTTCGTTCCTCTTTTGTTTACTATGG